CCAGGATGTGGGATTGTGGAACAGAGGCTGCTGCCACAAGGGGGCAGCAGAGACGCGGCAGCCTCCAACACTAGTAGTACTGTAGTAGGGATGGTGGCAGAGGCCCCACCTCTCCTGCCCACACGTGTCTTGCTATTGTTAGGGTTCTGCTCACTGTCAGCAGCTGGATCAAGCATCATTGCACCACCTCTCTGACCTTGATGTCCTGTGGATGGGCCCCTTCATGGCCATGGTCAGGATTTGGGAAAAAGGGCCCTGGCTCCCTGGGCATCTAGCAGTGCTGTTTCACTAGTATTGGTCTGTATTATATTTATTCTTTATAAGATTTATTCTAGGCTGGATATGTTTTATCATCTCTGTAAATTTTTCAGTAACCCTGTGAGATGGCAGGTGGGGCAACCTACTTTGTAGATGAGGAAACAGAGGTTCAGAAGGGTTGATAACTTGTTCAGGGCCTCACAACTGGGAAATAGGTGAGTCTTTGACTAGGTGCCTTACACAGGTGTTTACAGAGCACAGCTCCATGCTGAGCTATGTTCCGAGTGCTGGGAAACAGCCAGCAATCCAGTGGGTGGTAGATAGTAAATGTCTGTGGGTTATTTTAAGTTGATGGTCAGGAAGGGCCTCACTGCAAAGTCATCTGAAGGCCTGCGGAGGTAAGGGAGAAGCCTTATGGGGTCTGGGGCAGAGTGCTCTAGGAAGCTGGAATAGCATGTGCAAAGGCCCCGAGTCTCTCCTATAGTTAGTTGTGTAACTATGTTCTGGTTACCTGTAGCCTTTCCACTCTGACAGCTCTGGGCACTGGTGCTAGCTTGGAGCAGGTGCTCAGAAAACGGTGCCCCTCTTTCTACTCCTGCTATCTTGATCAGTAACATTTTTATTTCATGAAGACAGTGGCTCCGGGTACTCCTCTCTGGTTGGGGAAGACCAGCCACAGTGTGGCTCTGCTCCTCCCCTGCTATCTGTGGGGTGGGCTGTGGCCTTGTTCCTGACCCTGGTCACCCCCTATGTTCCTCTGCCATCTCGTGCTGCCACGAGTTGTTGTTGGCTGGGCCCCAAAATCTCAGGCCTGTGGGTGAGAATTTCACCCAGGTTAGTGGAATGTCATCACATGCCCACCAGGCCAGGGTGCCTGCCCTGTCCTTGTCCTCTGTCCATTGTAGGCCACAGGGCTACACTCCCTGCCTGCAGCCATTGATGGACCTCAGGCTAGTGACCCCGTCACAGGCCTCACTTCATTCATTTATAGGGTAGAACATGTTGCCCCCTCCCAGCCCCTTCCCTCTGTGGGGGCAGGAAGGGCTGTCCCTGCATACCTAAGGACTTCTCCCTGCCCCTCAGCCCACCTTCTCTCCAGGAATGGAGCCTGGGCCTGCTGCCTCTCCTTCTGTGCTCAGCAGCTGCCTGTGCCTTCTAACCCCAGTCCTGGGGCCTACTCTGGGCCCCTATCCCAGGCTGGCCTCAGGGCTGGGCAGGCATGTGGAGTGTGTGTGTATGTGTGTGTGAGAGAGAGGCATAGGGCATGGGAGGTGTGCTTGGGCACAGAGCAGGGGGTAGGGATGGCAATGGGGGTGGGTGAGCTCAGGGACTGAAGACTGGGAAGTGCACAACAGGATCCCCTACATTTAGGCCCTCAGTCTGGGTAGGGTGGGTAGGTGGGGGCCAGGAACCTCTGCTACTTCCTGCCCAGGGACCTTTTTTTTTTCCCTACCCACCCTGCCTGGGACCTTTTGTTTTGATGGGTAATTGGGACTTATTTGTTAGCCTTCCCACCTTTAAAATTTTTTACTGAGAAGAAATTCACATAACAAAATTACCCATTTAAAAGTGAGCCAGTTTGGCTCAGAGGTTAGAGCATTGGCCTGCAGACCGAAGGGTCACAGGTTCGATTCTTGGTCAAGGGTGCGTACCTGGGTTGCAGGTTCGATCCTTGGCCCTAATTGGGGTTGTGCAGGAAGCAACTAATCAATGTGTCTCACTCACATCGACATTTCTCTCTCTCTCCCTCCCTCCCTTCCACTCTATCTGAAAATCAGTGGAAAAATATCCTCAGGTGAGGATGAACAACAACAAAAAAGTGAAAAGTTTAGTGGCATTTAATACATTTACACTGTTGTATAACCACCAACCTCTATCTAGTTCCACAACTTTCCATCACCCCAAAAGGAGACCAAGTCTCATTAGCTGACACTCCCCATTCTTCCTCCTCCAGCCCCAGGCAACTACCATTGTGCTTTCTGTCTCTGGATTTGACTGTTCTGGACATTTCATATAAATGTGACCCTTTGTGTCTGGCTTCTTTCACCTAGAAAAACTGTTTTTTTTCCACCTAGCATAACTTTTATTTTTTACTTTGAAATGATTATAGAGGCACAAGGAGCTGCAAAAATTATACAGGGTCCCCCTGTCCCCCATCCCAGGACTTTCCAGATCTCTCCTGGAGTGAAGGTGGCCTCTCCAGAATTTGGGGGCCAGGAAATGGGAAATGAGGACTGATCTTAGAGGTGGCCCTGAGCTGGGGTAGACCTCACCCTGGTGGGCTGGGCCCCTATTGCTGCCCCTTGGGCTGGGCTTACCTCTGTGAGGGCTCAGTCTCTCCTGTCCTTTGGACTTGGTCTGGCCTGGGTGCGGTGTGGCGGCTGCTGGGAGCATGGCCCCTCTCCTGGCCACCCTGTCCTGCTGCTCAGCTTCCTCTCCCAGCAGCCGGTTGGGGCCCCGACGGCTGTCCTCTCCTCCTGGGCCCTGGGCCCATGCCTGGTTGGGGGAGGGCAGGATTTTATCCTTTCCCCAGCAGCTGGCAGGCAGCGAGAAGAGGGTTGGTTGTATTTTAAGCTGTTGAGTGGTTCAGCAGGAACTCAGAGGCCTCTTTTCCTGTAGGCACGGTGCTGCCTTCCTGTGGACCACACGGGCTCTCAAGGCATGTGGGCACTGCCCGCCTGGGACCCAGCAACTATTAATACACCTGCAGCCACGGGGCAGGCCCTGTGCCTGCCCAGAGCCCTGCTGTTCCAGCCCTTTCAGTGCATTCACTGTGTGCCCCTCCCCTCTCCCACAAGACCCTTGGTGGGCCTGGTGCTCCAGGTGATAGGACCAGCTCCCTGTTTCCCGCCCCTCTGGCTGGCCTTGTTACCCCTGTGTCTCGGTGGGGTTCAGTAACCTGTACCCCAAGGCCACATGGTCAGGCAGAGCTCTCTCTAGTGTGTTAACAACAGACATCTTGGCCAAGAGTTCTTGGGTGCTGGCCCCTCCTCCCACCACATTCATGATGGGGCAGGTGCTGCAGCCACCAACTGGCCAGTAGGGGAGCTGGAATCTCAACCCAGGCCCTGTCCTGCCCTTCATGGCAGCTGCAGGGCGCCTGAGGCTTTGGGGCACTGCGCATCTGTCAGGCACCACGCTGGTGCTTCACGTGCGTTGTTTCATGGGACCCCCCAGCCCTGCGAAGTACACTTTCCTACCCGCTCCCCAGGCTAAGGCTTAGAGAGAAGCGACTGTGTGGCAGGACCTGATGCAGTCCCATGTACCATCCACCAGATCCCCTGCCTCTCCCACTGTCATTGGGGTGTGTGTCAGGGGAACCCCTTCCTTCAGAGGGGCTCCAGCTCCAGGGGAGCCCTCTCCCTGGGCTCTGGGTGGGTGACCTGCCCTCAGAGAGCCTGGCTGGGGCCCTGCCTGGGGTTTCATGCCCTGCTCCTCTTCCCCAGCTGCCACTGACTAAGGGCCAACCAGGGGTGGGAAGGGTTCTCAGCACCTGTTGTCCAGGGGCCGACTTGGGGACAGACCCAGCCCTACCTGCCACTGCCTGTTTTGAGCTTGGTGGCACTTAGGCCTTTCAGGATCATTCTGCCCGATGGGCCTCACTGCAGCTCCTCCGGCAGTTCATCGCCTTTGCTGCTCTTCCATGTCTGTGGTGTCTGCTTTGACCTTCGTGGAGTGGTGGGTCAGATCCCCCCTCCTTTCTGGAGCTTCTCCCATCAGTGCCCCTCTGCTCTGCCACTTTCTGGCGTTCAGGGAGATCATGTGTGGTAGAGCCGGTGTGCTCTGGGCTTTGGGGTCTCAGGGCCCCAAAGGGTGCTGTGCTAGGCTTACACAAAGGGACTGCCCTGAAGGTGGCCTTAAAAATAGTCTGGGTGGATCTATTGAAAATGTGTGGAGAGGGAGGTGAGGGAGGCGGGGTCGAGGCCTCATCAGCCCAGGCCTGGGTGCCTTTTGGAAAATTCCTGGTTTCCTGACCCTTCCCACACAGAGAGAGGCTCTGCACCAATAACTCTGGAATCTGTCACCTCCCTGGGAACACAAATGCATAAAGGAAATAATCCGAGTGTCTCTCACAGCTCAGAAGGGGAAATGGATGATCTATCTCTCAGATTCTCAAAATAGCTGGGATTTCTCCAAGCCCAGTGAACTCTGCTGGCCTGAGCTGAGTGCTGGGGTGTGGGCTGCCCACTAGCATGTCACCCTCCTCCCCAAGACTGGCCCCCGCCCTGCACTGGGTATGGGGATCAGGAGGTACCTCTATGCCTCCCTCTGGGGATCTCCCTACTCCGTGGTGCTCTTTGGGGGCTGTGTCCACTTGAAAGCCTCACTTTCAGGGTGACCCAGCCTGCGGCCCTCGATCTATGCCATGGCTCTTGGGGGGCTCAGTCTGGGCAGGTTTATATTTAGCTGGGCATGGCTGTGGGGCCACTCGGGTTACAGCTGCACAGAAGGCGGCAGTGCCAGGGCAGGCGTGGGCTCCTTTCCAGCACCCTGGCAGAATTTGATCGCGTGGCCCAAGAGTGCTGCGCGTGGGGAGGTCGGTGGTGGGGGCTGACGGCCGGCAGTTTGGGCCACTGGCTTCTCAGGCAGAGCAGGGTAGCATGGACCTGAGTGTGAGCATGGTGGCCCGGGAGGCCAGCCAGGGCCTTGGCCCTGGCCCTGGCTTTGGCCTCAATGGCCTCCCATGGCCTGCACCCCCCAAGGTGGCCAAAAAACGTAAAAAAGCTGTTCTCTTCTTTGAGGTGGAGATTCTGGATGCAAAGACTCGGGAGAAGCTGTGTTTCCTGGACAAGGTAGGACCGTGGTGCCTGCTGCACTAGGCCCATGATTCAGTTCCTTCTGGGAGCTCTTGGCCCCGAGGGAGATGGGACTGCCCTTCCAACCTGCTTAGGGGGCTGTGAAAGAGGGCCTGTCCCTGCCAGCTTGGGATAGAATGGGCAGCCGTGGCCCCTAGGTGTGGCGGGAGTTGGCTTCTGGGTGCAAGAGGAGGTGAAGCAGCCTCAGTGGATCCTGCAGGGTTTCGGGCTGCGAGGGATGTGGAGTTGTGACCTGCTCCTTCTGAGACTAGGCTGGGGGAAGGGGCTTTGTCCCTTCCTAGGGGAAGTCTGGCCTGGACTGTGGGTCTTTACGTTGGAGGGAGTTCTTGATAGGGGTAGAGAGGCAGAGAAGCAGGCCCAGCTTCCTGTGCTGAAACTGTCTCCCATTATGGCTGGGCGTTGTCCTGGCTGCCTGGTAAAACTGGGCCCTCAGGCCCACTGCCGTCTCCACTCTGACAGGCCCTTGCTGCTCCACTTGGCCATGTGGGGTGGAGGCCTGGACCCCTCCCTACTCCCATAGCAGCTACTCAGGCCCCCATCCATCCCTACTGCAGCAGGAGGGATCCTGGATCAGAGGTCCCGGCTCTCCACAGGGCTGACTTTCCTCTGGCCCATGCTTCCCTCAGGTGGAGCCCCATGCCACCATCGCAGAGATCAAGAACCTTTTCACTAAGAGCCGTAAGTCCAGGGCCCAGCCACATTGCCTCCTGCAGCCCCGCTGGACAGGGGCTTCTGGGTGGGACCCCTCCCTGCAGCCTCTTTCCCCAGGGCCTGCAGAAATGCCCCCAGTATGGCCCAGGATTTTCTGGGCATGCCTGTTGCAGCGCCCCCGTGTGGCCACCGGCAGGAAGGCCCTTGCTTGGTTTTCGGAAGAACATCCTGATTCTGCCAGTGCCCTTCTGTACTGTGCCCTGGAGCCACACAGGCTACAGAGGCCTTGTCCACGGCGGGAGGAACTTTGGGGTCCCTGGGTCCTGCCAGGCTGTGTGTTGTGACGCCCCACTCTCCCCGCAGATCCACAGTGGTACCCTGCCCGCCAGTCCCTCCGCCTGGACCCCAGTGAGTACAGCTGTCACTTGACCACCCCTGGGCACCCTGGTGGCAGTGGGCAAAAGCCTGGGTAGCTCCTGAGCCATGGCCCGCCTCTCTGTAGAGGGCAAGTCCTTGAAAGATGAGGATGTTCTGCAGAAGCTGCCTGTGGGCACCACAGCCACACTGTACTTCCGGGATCTGGGGGCCCAGATCAGCTGGGTGACGGTGAGTCCTGACCCTATAGTCAGTAACCTCCTCCCATTAGCTAAATTGGGGTGACTCACCTGTCCCCATCCTCCCAGGTCTTCCTGACAGAGTACGCAGGACCCCTTTTTATCTACCTGCTCTTCTACTTCCGGGTGCCCTTCATCTATGGCCACAAATATGACTTCACATCTAGCCGGCACACAGTGGTGCAGTGAGTGGGCCAGGCTGGAGGGGGTGACCATGGGTGGTGGTTAGGGTAAAGGTTTGTGGATTGGTCCCTCTGAGCCAGCTCCCCTCTCCCAGTCTTGCCTGCATTTGCCACTCATTCCACTACGTCAAGCGCCTGTTGGAAACGCTCTTTGTACACCGCTTCTCCCATGGCACCATGCCTTTGCGAAATATCTTCAAGGTAAGCCCCTGGCCTAGGGTCCCAGGCCCACCCACCCTGGCCCCACCCTCTTTGGGACCCCTCCCCCTCTAGCATCCTTCCTCTGGCCCCATCCTGGCCCTGCTCCCTTTCAGAACTGCACCTACTACTGGGGCTTCGCTGCATGGATGGCCTATTACATCAACCACCCTCTCTACACGCCCCCCAGTAAGTGGCTTTGGGACCCTGATCCTCTTGTGAGCCCCCATCCCCCACCAGGCTCCCCTCATAGGCTTCTGGCTTTCTTTTTAGCCTATGGAGCTCAGCAGGTTAAACTGGCACTGGCCATCTTTGTGGTAAGCAGGGAGGTATGCATGACGGGGTGGAGGGGCTCTGGGGGACTCTGGGCTGACCTTGCTCCTCTGACAGATCTGCCAGCTGGGCAACTTCTCCATCCACATGGCCCTGCGGGACCTGCGGCCAGCTGGTGAGTGGTCTGCCCTGGGCAGAGGGGCGGGCAGGCTGGGCCAGGGGGTCTCTCAACCTTCCCATCCTACCTGTCAGGGTCCAAGACCAGGAAGATCCCATACCCCACTAAGAACCCCTTCACGTGGCTCTTCCTGCTGGTGTCCTGCCCCAACTACACCTATGAGGTGAGGGCCTGCCCTGCTTCCCTCTCCCTTGTGGGGCTTCAGGTTCCGTGTGGAGGGGCCAGTCCCTGTAGGGTGTTGCCTGGCTCAGCAGTTGCTTTTGCAGTTTGAACTTGGGAGCATCTGGAGATGGCAGACTGTGGCCTCTGGTGGCTGGGAGTTGTGTAAGGCTGGGCTTGTGGCTCTTGAGGGCCTAGGGGCAGCTTCGTCATGTAGTCCTCCCTTTACCTGGGGTCCCTCTAGCATTAGAGTTTGGTTGCTACCTTCCATTTGGAAAGCCAAGTTTGGGAGGGAGGTGGCCCTGGGGGTGGGTGAGGTCTCAACAGAAAAGCTGGCCTGCCCAGCCCTGCCTGCCCTCACCTCCCTGCCCCCCACAGATGGGGTCCTGGATTGGCTTTGCCATCATGACGCAGTGTCTCCCAGGTGAGTCCCCTTCCCCTCCCTCAGCCGGTCCCTGCCCCACCCCAGACCGTGCACCCACTATGACTCCCTGCTCTGTCCTGCAGTGGCTCTCTTCTCCCTGGCGGGCTTCATTCAAATGACCATCTGGGCCAAGGGCAAGCACCGCAGCTACCTGAAGGAGTTCCGAGACTACCCCCCCCTGCGCATGCCCATCATCCCTTTCCTGCTCTGAGTTGACCATCCCCACCAGCTCCTACCAGTAGGGCTCCTAGGAGCTGGGCTCCTGTACCCTCACCCAGTATCCTTCTCAGGGAAGGAATGGGGGTACACCGTTCTCCAGCACCTGGAATAAAATCTGCCTGCTCAGCTGGATTCAGACTCAGGCTCTGTGTGTTTCTTTGGGGGCTTTGGGGACCAATATACCACAGGAATAGGCAGGGCTTGGGCTGAGGGCCTGGAGGCTTTTATTTCTCCACTCATCCAAGGTTGGTGAGTGGATCCACTATAGGGCCACCTCGCTTCTGGCCAGATCTGCCTCCCTCTGCTCCCGCCGCTTCTTCCGCTGGAGCAGCCGCCGCTCCCGTTCAAACTCCTTCATTCGCATCACGTAGCTATGGGCAGAGCATGAGAAAGGGTGTCAAGGCTCCCTGGCTGGACTCAGCCCTCCCTTAGCCCTGGGAAGCCAACAGGGCTGGAACTCCACCCTAGAGCACTCTGGAAGGCCTTGGAGTTGGGGAGAACTGTGGTTTAAGCCTGGGGTCTGCCCCCTATCTCTTTGGTGGACACCAGTGAGCCCTGGGCCTCCCGCCTTGAACCCTGGCTTGGCCGATCCTCCAGGTAGCCTCAAAGATGCCTGCCCTACCCAGACTCTTCCCCTGTCCCCACCCAACAGACCCCTTGAGAGTCCTTTTCCAACCAAGGTGGGGGCATGGCTAGAAACTCAGGTTAGTTCACTGTCCTTGGCCTCAGGAGCCTCGGGCTGGGGGCCAGGGTGGGGCTCGGTGAGGGATGTGGGTCGGGTCTGGGGCTCACTCGAGGTGCTCGCAGTATTCCCAGTCATGCCGCTCATGCTTGCAGGCCAGGAAGTTTGGGAAGCTGTCGCGCTTGCACTTGAGCAGCCGGATGAGGTGGTGGGCACAGTAGTCTCGCTGCTGGACCACGAGCTGTGCATCGTTCATCTCCTGCTGTGTAGCCACCATCTCTGTGGGGAGGGAGCGGGCAGGGCTCAGCTGGGGTGGGCTTTCAGGGGCCTAACTGCTGGAGGCTCCCCATCATGCCCTGATTCTAGGGAGCTGGTCCACAGGCAACCAGGAGCCACAGCACAGGCCCCCCCTTCCTGCCCCCACACAGGTCAAAGATGTGGCAGATGACTGGCATCCTCTGACAGATGGAGTTGCACAAAGGCAATCCCAGACACAGAGACAGGGAAAAGGGTCCCTCTCTCCCCACCACCCTATGCACCTCAGCGTCCACACTGGATCCTCATCTCCCCTCTCCTCTCTGGGTTCAGTCTCCAGACAGCCCCACCCTGCAGAGCCCACTTTCTCCCAGTGCCTGTCAAGCTCGTCACAAACACACTGCATTACTATACCCCATTGTCAAGTCTCAGTTCTAACCCCACTGCAGCAGCGACAAGCATAGCTAGCTGATCACTGCCCCGCAGGGTGGGACTGGGCTGCTGGGGTGACGTGGATCTGCACTCTGCCCTCTCTGAGCTTCAGTTTCTTCTAAGGAGTGGAAGAAAAGTCCCCAGCTCCAAAGTCAACTAAGTGAGCATTAAGGAGTTAATGTAAAATGCTTAGTGTCCACTTCAATGAAAGCTGAACTTGGGTCCCATACACCTTGCAAGTTGACCCTGAACCAAATCAACCTACAGAGGCTGACTGGGGCCCTTAGAAGTTGTGGGCACACACTCCATGCTGGCAATCTCCCACCCCACCTGCAATCTTGCCCCACTGGCTTCTCTTCCCTCTGCTTCTGAACCCCGTGTCTCTGTCTCCCTTGGACTCAGGTCCTCATCTCTTGTCCCTGCACAGAACTCCCTCCAGTTTCCACACTGCCCATCACTGCCTATACAAGCCTCTCACAAGGGCAACTGAGACCGCAGGACACCGCTTTTCCTTAGCCTCTCACTTCTTTCTTGAACATTCTCTTCTTCTGACTCTCCCCTCCCCTCCTCCCTCCCCAGGTTTCTTCCCAGCTCTATGGCTTTGGCTTCCTGAGTGTCTTGAGAGGCTTTGCTCCTTTTAATCCGTGGCTTCGATCACTATCCCATAGACTGTTGAGTACCAACTCAGTACCCCCACCCTCACCTTGTCTGAGCTCCAGGCCCATAATCCACCTACAGCCCCCCTGCTGGTTCCCATGGCAATGTGATTGCTACCTGCACCTGGTGCTCTGGCATACTCAGTTAGTAGTTAGGATTTATGGAACCCCCAGGCATTAGGGATCCTGCCTTTGGTGGGAGACACAGTACAAACAGCTGGAGCTAATGCCACAGAATGTCCACAATGCTAAGTATTGGAAAAATAAAGCAAGGGAGAGAGAGGCAGTGTTGGGAGGTGGGTCACGACTTTAGATGAAGGGGTCCCTTAGAAGGTGGCATCTGAAAGTGAGTGAGACACAAAGACACCTGGGGGAAGAGCATTCCCAGTAAGGGAACAACAGATGCAAAGGCCTTGAGGTGAGAGGTCAGGCCTTGGGATGCCCTAGAGATTTTGGACTGAGCATGTAGTCAGAGCATGGGCTCGGTGGGGCAGTCAGGAGTTCAGTTTTGGACTTGCTGAGTGTAAGATGCTTGTTAATGTTGTGCAGAGATGCCAAGTAGGCAGTGGGGCCCATGAGTCTGGGGTTCAGGGTCAAGACCCAGCTGGAAGTAAAAACTTGGGAGCACTGGCACAGAGGAAGCGTTTGATGCTAGGGAACTAGCAGAGAACCCCAGGGAGTAAGTGGAGACAGAGGTCTGAGCCCTGGGACTCCCCAACATTTACGAGACAGGGAGTGGGGAAGGATCAGTGAAGGAGCCCACAGTGAGGTAGGAGTGTGGGGTCCTGGCAGCCATGTGAAGAAGGGCTTCCTAGAAGGGGCAGTGACCAGCTATGCCTGACTCTGCTGCAGTGGGGTTCGTGAGAACAGAACTGACAATGGGGTATAGCGATACAGTGTGAGTGTGTGTGTGTGTGTGTGAGTGTGATAAACTTGACAAGAGTTCTTTCAGTCAAGCGGAGAAGTGGCTGGAGGGGGTGGTGGTCCAGGAAGGGATTTAACACAGTAGAAGTAACTATTAGCATGTTGATGGGAAAAACGTTGCAAGAGAAAGGGAGAGTGATGGGGTGCCCCTTGGGTAGGTGAGAGGATGAGATGGAGGGCACAAGGGGTTTAAAGGAGCAGGGTCAGATTGCCTGAAGTAACAGTAGAGGAGTGCCCTCAGAGTTCTGTGAGGAGCTGAAAGGAGGTGGGAAGGAGCTGCTGGAGTTAGAAGGCTTGGGACACTCATCTAGGAGGAAAAGGGAGAGCGAAGGGCCAGGGAATGTAACGGGAAAGCCAGCAGCACGAAGGGTCAACCAGGGGATTGATGAGAACAGTTATAGAGGCTGAGTGTTTTTCTCCCATGTTCAGCTGTATAGGGGGACAGAAGTCAAGGAGAGCTGGGCTTAACCAGGGTTTTGGTTTCACCAAGCAGGAGAGAAGAGCAGTGGATGTTTGCAAAACGGGGCAAAGCAGGGTGTGAGGTGTAGTGGGAAGGATTAATGTGTAAGAAGGCGAATGGATCAATGGACTGCAGGTTCAGTAATTGGGCCACTGGAGGAGTCCACCTCCCAACGGTCTCCCAAATCCAGACCTCTCTGCAAAGTCCCGCCTGGAGGTCTCCCTTTCGCCAAGTCGTCGCCCACCCAGCAGCCAGCACGACCTCTGGACAAAGCAAATCTGATCGTTTCCCTCCGCTGCTTACAAACCCTGGCTCTCCCGTAGTCAACTTACACTCATTACCCCGAGGTCTCGCTTCCAGCTCTCGCCTCCTGGAAGCCTGCCCTGATACTATCACTCCAAGGTGCTGGCCCCAAGATCGGCCTGGTGCCGCTGTCTCATCCCCAGTGCTGCGAGTTTCCTTTAATCGGTATCTGTTGTATCCGCGGCGCCCAGCTTGGGAACTTGGCCCGGGATTGGGGCTCGAAATGCTTGTGATATTACTCCATAAAAAAGCAACGTGCAGGGCAGTGCGGCGTGACAGCGGAACGGAGGAACAATGAACACGCCCCTTCGTGATACACCTCCCCATGGCTCTCCCCGCTGACTCCAGGAAAAAGCCCAGCTCGTTAGCCCCCTATCTCCACTCTTGCCCCGTATTTTTTGCTCAAACCGTGTCCTCTGCCCGCAATGCCTCTACACTCAGGCAGGGTCACGCTTGTCCCCGGACTCCTCCCCGGTGAGGTACGTGCTGAGCCCAGCTCTGCAGACCCCAGGGTTAAGGCGTCCGCGTCCCACTCTCGCCGGCCGCGCCGGTGCATCGGATCTCACCCCGCTCCTTGCGCCCAGGGAAGCCGTAGTCGGGCGGGAAGGTGGGCATCCGCAGGGGGTCGGGCTCCCCTGACGTATCGCTCAGGTAGCGCCTGGCCAGGTGCGCCCCCATGGCTGCTATCGCCACAGGCTCCGGCAGCAGCCAGGTCACCTCGATTCTACCCGGAAACTCTCCTTCGCTAGTCACGGCTTCCGGGTTGCGATGACTACCATAGGGATCATAGAGATGAATGACTCTGAGGACTTTCGGCTTCTCGAACGACACCTCGCGGCCACGTGGAGACATTACAGGCGTGGCGCGCCCCTTCCTGAGATCTTTTTGCCTCTGGATGGAAATCCACTTGGGTGGGAAAGTGGAGTGGGGACGACGTGTGTCTGGGACTTCCTCCTACCCTCACCAGGCATCCCCGAACTCCCGAAGCTAGAGCACAAATGAAAAAATTTTTTATATCATAATATTTTTTAAAAACATTAGAATTCGTTTTAATAAAACTTGTACAGTATCAATGACATATTTAGTGATTATAACAAGTTTAAACAAAGTTATTCTATATAAATATTTTAGAAAATTTTATTTAAATAAGCAAAGCAAATAAAGTTCTTTATAAATAAAACTATTTAGAGCCTGGCTGGTGTGGCTTGGTGGTTGAGTGTGAACCCATGCAGCAAGAGGTCGTCAGTTCAATTCCCAGTCAGGGCACATGTCCAGGTTGTGGGCACAATCCACATGCAGGAGGTGGCCAATTGATGTTCTTTGTCATCGATGTCTTTATCACCCTCCTTCTCCCTCTAAAATCAATAAAGAAAAATTATTTTAAAAATAAAATAAAACTGACTTCCGGTCAAGATGGCGGCATAGGTAAACACAATACATACTTACCCCCCTCCCACAACCACATCAAAATTACAACTAAACTAGAGCACAACCATCCTTCGGAACCACCTGAAATCGAGATGAATGGAAGTCGTACAACTACAAAATTAAAGAAACAGCCACATCAAGACTGGTAGGAGGGACGGAGGGGTGGACAGGCTGGTCCCACACCCATGTGTGGTGGAAAAAACTCAGGAGGGACACCTCTGCTGTGAAGGTCCTCCCTGAGAAGTGAGGGGTCCCTGTCCCACACCAGGCACCCAGCTCAGGGTTCCAGTGCCAGGAAGAGAACTCCCCATAACTTCTTGCTGTAAAAACCAGCGGGGGCTGAGGCTGATGATGGCTGAAGCTTCTGAAGCCCCAGGCAGCTCCTCTTAAAGGGCCCGTACATGGACTTACTTGGACTTGCTCCCTCTAAGCTCCAAGGGGAGGCAGCTTGAGAGGCGTCAAAGACATACAGAGAAGAACTGAGCTGTTTGGCCTCGGGAAGAGGGTTGGAGGGACAGCTTTCTCCTGGACAGAGGTGCTGGCGGAGGCCTTTGTTCCTTTGGTGAGCCCTTCCCTGGGGCGGTGGACAGCCACTGTATCTGGGATTCCAGCAACCTGGCTCATACTGTTTGCCCCTCCCTGGTGATTCCCTGAGGCTCAGCCCCACCCAACTTTCAGGCCCCATCCAAGCTGTTTCCAAAGGCTTTACCATAGGATTGGCCTGTCTTGGATCCTGCTTCAGAGTTTCCTAAAATCTCTCAAACAAGCAGCATTTGGTCTTAGCCAGCCCCATACCTCTTGTTAAGTGGCCCCAGGCCTGGCACTAGAAGCAGTCAGCCTTGGTTCACAACTTAACTTTTCCTGGACACCTCCAGGCCCAGCACAAGAAGCAGCCATCAGCAGATCACTTTGTAGCTTATGCCGGGTGGCCCTGGATAGAACACAGGCAGTGGCTGACCTTGCTCCAGAGCCAGCACATCCAGTGGACAGCTTCAAACCACAATGAAACACCACCACCCAATCACCTCCACAAGTGACACACTCAATGAGTGGACTCAATGGGTGCCAGAACCCTGCTGAAGTAAGTCTTGCTCTGTGTGGTGGCCCCTGCACAGCTGATCATCCAAGGTAGTCAGAGGCCAGTGGTCAGTGGGCACAGCCAGTCCTTGCAGCTGATCAGCCTGAGTAAATCCCTCCCATTGATGTGCCAATAGCAATCAAGACTCAATTACAACAGAAGGGTGTATAGTTCACACTAGGGGTGCACCTTGAGGGCCCAGCTGGGGTGAGCATGGAGTCTGTGTTACTGGATCGTCCAGGACACCTACGACAATAGGCCACCCTACGAAGCCTAGGAGTCATAGCAACTCTACATAATACATAGAAATAATTACAGGGAAGCAGCCAGAATGAGGAGATAAAGAAACATGTCCCAAATGAAAGAAAAGAACAAAACTCCAGGAGAAGAACTAAACAAAATGGAGATAAGTAATCAGTCAGATCCAGAGTTCAAAACACTGGTTATAAGGTTGCTCAAAGAACTTAGTGAGACCTTCAAGGAACTTAGTGAGACCTTCAAGGAACTTAAGAACACCTCTGAGGAACTTAGTGAGAACAAGAACAACATAAAAAAGGACCAGTGAGAAATTAAGGATGCATTAACTGAAATAAAGAATAATTTACAGGGAATCAACAGTAGAGTAGGTAAAGCCAAGGAGCAAATAATCAATTTGGAATATAAGAAAGCAAAAAACACCCAATCAGAACAGCAAAAAAGAAAAAAGAATCCAAAGAAATGAGGATAGAATAAGGAGCCTGTGGGACAATTTTAAGTGTGCCAACATTCGTATCATAGGGGTGCCGAAAGGAGAAGAGAGAGTGTTGGAGTTAGAATGATTGGAGATGTGAAGAAAGCATCAGCAGGCAAGATGTATTCATGATCGGAGGGCTACAGCTCTCTCTGGCATGTAGCAATGATTTCATGATCATCATGGCTTTTATTACAATATTTAACAATTACATCTGAAGAGTATGTGAGTAGCTACATGAGCACAAACAATGCATGGCAAGCAATGGCTAACTCTATGTTAATACCTAACCTTAAACTACAAGCACAAACAATGCTTGGTAAGCAGTAACTAACTCCATGTTAATATCTAACCTTTAACTTTTAGGGTTTGTTTCCTCTATAGTAGAAATACATGAGATAATGGAATTGTCTCATGAACCTTTGAGACAATTTCAAGAATTTGTTACAGGAACTGTTTGCAGTTCCTTGATCTGTATGACTCTTTTGCAACATCACACAGAAAACTCATCCTTGGCTGTCCTCCAGTTCTTAAGGATCCATCATCTCTCCCTTTTTGTTTTGCGCCAGCTTGTGAAGCATTACAGAAAAAGCAGCATTTTTGGCTGACATTACTTGTTGTTGTTGCTGGTGCCTTTGGCAGACTAAGTACAAGACAAAACATATAATAATGATTAATAAAAACATCCCAGATATTGATCTAAATAATCCATTAATATGTTCAACAGGATTTAAATTTGATAAACCTTCCATCATACCCTGCAACACATCTCCATTATGATAAGTTTCTAACTGTTTTTCTTTCTTTCTTTTTTTTTTTTTATCCTCACCCGAGGACATTTTTGCATTTTTTGTTCAGACAGAGCGGGAGGGAGAGAGAGGAAGAGAGAGAGAGAAACATCGATGTGAAGGGACACATCGAGTGGTTGCCACCCACACGACCAACCAGGGCCGGAGACAAACTGCAACCGAGGTACGTGCCCTTAGCGGGAACCGAACCCGGGTCTCTCTGTACCGCAGGCCGACGCTCTAACCGCTGAGCAAAACCGGCCAGGGCTCTAACTGTTTTTCAAAAGTACTATGAATCTTGGTTTGTAAGGCCATTATATGTTCAGTTAAATTGTCATGATTCAATAAATGCTTTTTTACTTTTTCCCATGGAAATTCTGTAGCATTATAAGGTGCAGAAGTAATACAAAAAGAAGATTGACTCCAATTACATTTTAAAGTTACATGATTTTTTAAACTCTATAGTTGATCACCTAACAAAATTACAGCGTGATTTAAGTCAGCTATTTCAGATTGCATCTCAGTATCAGTTTGAGCCACCCAAAGTTTTTCTGATGATTTATGCCATTCTCGCACATAGTCAGCGGTCTGGATTCCATTATGTAATGCAATCCCTGGTGTCGCTGCGGTAGCTGTGATGACTATAAGTCCTGGTATGGCAGCAATCAGAAATCCTAAAAATCTTTTATTTCTTCTCAAGAGTCTCCTGGCACTATTTCAAAGCATTCCCGTCATGGGGCTATCTTGCCACGGTCTATCAAGGGAGACAGGAATCCACAACTCTGTCCGTGCTCTTAGGAAATAAAACTTTTGTTCATCTGTATGGTAAAGTTAATACATGAATACAGGGAACAATTATGACAACTTATTTCTCCAGTACTTTGGTTCCAGATAATCTTTCCTTTAAGAATCAGATAGGGTATTTTGACGCAAGCTTGAATATAATGCGTCAGATTCCTGTTAAAGGTCAGAGTATAGTTATGATCAGTTATGTTAGACATCATTCCTGTCCATGCGGTTAAAGAATGCATAGCAGCACTAATTTTCCATATATGGTGTTGAGAAGCAACCCCAGAGTAATGTGAGGACTGGGACTAGAAAATCCTCCTCCATGCCATTGAATGGGACTATCCGCTGACGGAGAAATCTCATGCAGCGATAGATTCCCATGCCACCTCAGATCTCCTCCTGAGCCTTAGAGCGAGTGGAGCCAATAGGACTCCAATCAATGACACTTCCATAGGAAGTATTAACTAATACTCACTTAAATTCTCCTCTACACAATGTCCAATGTACCCATTCAGACATTTGAGAAAAGGCAGGAGTGTTACATGGAGGTAGATCTGGAGTTCCCCTAGAGTCACTGGTTTTGGTGCCATTAAAACTTTGCACTGCTAATAAAACAATTTTCTACCTGATTCCCTTTTTGTAGAATTTCTTTGACTTGACAGCCATGCTTGTAAACGAGGAGTTAAACAATGGCTTTCCTTACTTATACATATAGGAGGACCCGTGACTCCTGTAGTATAGCTAGGCATTATCATTCCTTCCTCTTCTGGTTTTAAGGGTCCTCGAACATTAAAAGGCCCTGGAATCCATGAAGTTTCATTAGTATATACAGTTATAGTAGCAGGGCCGGGGACAAACTGCAACCGAGGCACATGCCCTTAGCGGGAACCAAACCCGGTTCTCTCTGGACCACAGGCTGATG